TAAATCAGACCCAGGAAACTATCGCCCAATCTCAATTTTACCAACTATGTCGAAAATTTTAGAGAAGCATGTAGAAGAAAATATACGTATTTTTACTTCTCACTTTGATTTACTAATGAAAGCACAATCTGGATTTAGAGAATTTCACTCATGTCAGACAGCTCTCACAAAACTAACCGATAATTGGCTGCATGCAATAGATCAAGGAAATTTTGTTGGCATTTCTTATTTGGATTTTAGCAAAGCATTTGATCTTGTTAATCACGATATACTAATTAGAAAACTTAAATGCTATCATTTCGATCCAATATCAATTAAATGGTTTCAATCATACTTATATGATCGAACACAAAGTGTAAAAATTGGTGCATATATATCTGAATCACTGCCAGTCACAGCAGGTGTGCCACAGGGCTCTATTTTAGGTCCTTTGTTGTTTCTATTGTATATTAATGATTTACCATTATGTGTTGAACATTGTAATATTGATATGTTTGCTGATGACACTACAATGCATTTTCATGGCAATAGTATTTCACATATTGAAACAACTCTAAATCATGAACTCAATCAACTACAAAAATGGTGCCAACAAAATCAGATGATTATAAATACTGATAAAACAAAGTGTATGTTAATGGGAACACAACAAAAGAAATCTAAATTAGAAAATGTTAATTTTCATTTACAACTTTCCGGACATACTCTTGAAAATGTAGAAATGCACAAATTATTAGGCATTCACATCGATCATAATCTACAATATACTTGTCATGTAGATGCAGTTTGCAAAACTCTTACATATAAAATATTCACTTTACGAAAAATTAAAAAGTTTCTTCCAATGCATACTAGAAAACTATTTTATAATGCTTTTATTCTACCATCAATTTTATATTGTCTGTCCATTTGGGGCAACTGTCCTCAAACGCACGTGGATAGAGTCTACAGATTACAAAAACGAGCGGCTAGGATTATTTTAAATGAAAAATATGATACACCTTCAATGCCTTTATTTAACACTTTAGGCTGGTTAACGGTTTATGAACTTTTATATTTACAGAAAAGCATTCTAATGTTCAAAATATTTAATGGTATGTCTCCCGATTATATGCATAATCTTTTTGAATTTCAAAGCTCTGGATCATACATGTTACGCTCTGAAACAAACTCCGAACTGCGATTACCAAAATATAAAACTAACTTATTTAAAAATTCTTTACAATATTCAGGAGTTATAATCTGGAATGAGCTACCAATAAGTATAAGGAATTCCCAATCCCTTACAATATTTAAAAAAAGTGTTGAAAATTTTTTGCTTGTGAAACGCAATGGTTCTACGTGATTTTTCTTTTTTCTTTTTTTCTCTCTCTCTCTCTCTCTCTATGGTGAAGTGTGTATGTTTTATTTATTTATTTATCTATTGGTAACATGCATGTACTGTCCATTTTTTTTTATTGTCTCCTTATTGTGATTTGTATTTATTGTGTATATACATTGTATATGTGTTATAAAGAGGGCCCCGAGGAAGACTAGTGCTTGCACTAATCGGGTTACCTTCTATAAATAAAGTATTATTATTATTATTATTATTATTATTATTATTACATAACACTCCAGGGCTTTCCTGTCACCGAGGGGCAAATATTTTGGTATAGTCGCCCGAGAAGTCATGTGGTATATGTTATATGACATTTTTAAAATAAAAAAAAAATTAAATCATTTAAAATCGTTGCAATTTTCACAAAAAATCCAGTAATGCTTTCTTGACGTTAAGAATAACGCTTCGTTGTTTACGTTTGCTTAGCAACCGACGTCATAACATCTCGAACCCGAGCAAAAATGCGTAACGTAAAAACACGCGAACGTGATCGAAATAGTGACATAACTGTTTCCGGCGAGGGTTGACATAACTGTTTCCGGCCGGACATAACTGTTTCCGGTGTGACTCGGTATTTTTCAGGGTTGATAGCGAAACTTATTATATTTGTGATATAAGAGGAAAACGTATTCAAAAATGTTATATATCCGTATATATTTCTTTGAGATCAAGTGATGCACTGTCACAGCAGATAACAATTATTTAAGGTCTTGACGAAAAAAATTATTATGATAAATACATTTGCACCAAACCTTTCCAAATGTGTTGGCATTATATACATATAACCCAGAACATTTCTTTAAATCTATTCAAACAATTCAAGCGACAATTTCAAAAATTGTAATACGTAGGCTTCTATATCTGTTCAAATCTCAAGTTTGAAGAATCTATAAAACGGCTGGTTTTGAAAGCTCTTATCAATTAAAATTAGAACGTGTAAAATATGATTCAAGTACTTCAAATACACCAGTCTGTAGGAAAAGTTTTTGTCCTCATGAGCCACAAAAAAAAGTCATGGTCATATTTAAGTGCGACACAGAAACTTAAAGTGGTGCGAAGCATGTACTTAAGCAGAATCACAACTTGACAAGAACACAGTATAGATGATCTAAGATCACGTGAAACACTACATATTTGCATTGCTGATTTAAAATTTTGAGAGAGAGAGAAATTCACTCGCAGGTAATTTTAACGACTTTATATACATGTACCTAACATTAACAAGAATGCATAAAATAGTTCATTATTATTTTAGTCGGTTTTTATGTTTATTAAAACAAAGAAATTTGATAGCTTATAAATTAAATTGAATTGTTCCCATTTGTGGAAAAATATAAAATCCATTACACTTGATAATTAACCTAAAATATGCATAAAAGTTATACCAAAATAATATGCAAATATTTCTGTTGGTCATGTGGATTTCAACTCAATAAAATGTTCATGTACCAATCTAAGTACAGGACACATCGAAATATTTTCGCTTTGTGTATTTTTCTCTGATTTCGTTCAAATCGCTCTTTATTTACAACACTTCATTTTTATTTTTATCGAATCTTTTGTACATTAATTTTGTTAGTCTTAATTGAATAAACCTTTAACTAATAGTTAACAATACACCCCCCCCCAACAAAAAAAATCACAAAGGGTCATTTTCCGAAGATCTCACGGTAAGAATTTGAAATATGATCAGTTTCTTTCCTTTTTTTCCAGCTATTTGATTTTTTTTTCGGACTACTGGACATTTTTTCGATCTTACAATTGATAGATCATATTAATTTCCGTAAACCACCTTTTACAGGGGATGGGGATTTCAATGATTGTTTAATAATATGTTGATTTAGGCCTCGTTTGAGAATATTTCACTCATAAAGAGACCTTATGTTACACCAGTGAAGGGTGTATGGACTGTCTATCATCCTTTTCTGATATGCATTTCTTGTTTTAAACTTACTTTCTTTTCTAAAACTACACATGCAAAAGCGGATAAGAACGAAAAAGGGGGATTGAAAATAAACGTCAAATTTTGACTTGATAAAAACAGACATGTAAATCAGGTCAGGAACCGCAACAAAGTGCATTTAACAACACTCTAACAATCCACTTCAGCAAATGAAAAAAAGAAATGGAAATGTTTTAGACAATGTGATTGTTAAAACAGATTTTTAGGCTGTGCCAAAGAATAAAATTTGCATGCAAGAATGGTTTATCGAAAGCAAAACGTTGACAAGGTCTTGTAATGTTTTATGGAAATTTTGCCTTAGTACATAAGTCCTCGAACCGCTTCATGCTTCACCGGATATCGAGGCCTTAGAGCTGCTGACGCCATACTTATTTTGGAAGTCACGTGACAGGGGTAAAAAATGGAGGAGCAGACGGCAGAATAAGTACGACTGGTGGATTTTAATTTCAGTCCGAAGGTCAGGAACATTGTTCCGAGGGACATTTCTATATTTATTCATTACAGCTAAGTTTAAACATTATATTCAGTACAATTTGCCATTTGTAACGGACTCGTATGAAGAGAGAGCGTTCTCGTTTGTAGCAAAATACCTCCTATAGAGGGGGTCTGGTATGTTTTCGTCCACTTTTCAAAGTATTGTAGCTACACGAGAAAGTAAAATTTGTTGTAGACTGGAATAAAATCAGTTAATTTCTTATAACACAACCTAGCTAATCATTGATTTACATTTCACAATGAAATACTGCAGTTTTGAATCCATTTTGCGAGAAAATCGAGGAGGATCGATGGCATTTCATTGAAATTAAAAATCTAACCGAATTGCTCTTAGATGTGTCATTAGAGTTTTTGAACTTTAGAGGCCACAAGCTTTCAAGGAAGTATAGCCAAATTTATAAGAGCATAAAGGTTTTCTTGAAATCAACATGGGAAATGTGGCGGAGCGCCCCACAAATGGCACAAGACACCATGCAAGAATACATAAATTTTAAATATTAAGGATTTATATCATCCCAGAACCTGAAAAAACTATTGCACTGAGAAAGTAAGATCTCAAGAAAGTAAATACCATAAATTTGATTCACATTTTAAAAAAAAAATTTAAGAGATTTATATCTAAATATCTTTGCACCATGGTCGGCATTCTATGCAATGTATCTAAATTGACCACTCATAAAAAAAAATAGTGCCCGCTCTTAGATTTGAAAATATGATTTTAAAGTAGTATATTGTTCCATCTTACTCAGCAATCAAGGATTTTTATAAGAGCGAAATGGTTTTGTAGAAAAATACTGTAATTGATGGGACCCTTTTGGGTTTTTTTGTTGCTATTTACATGGTAAAATGTACATGATGTATAGTTCATTTCAGTTTTTTATTTACCATAAAATACACTGTGTCTATAATATTATATTTACAGACTGGGTTATTTAAGGAATGACTTTCATTCTCGGCCAAATTGTTCTATGAAACCTGGTTTGGGTCAGTTTACCCTTTATAATCCACGAAACCGAACCAGATTATACAGAATAATTTGCGTTCCTTTTTGGAATTCAATCAATGACAGGCCAGAAGTCAAACAAAATTAAATTATTATGAACTTTGAATTATTGAAAACAAAAATTGAACTTGAATTTGAGATTAACAATATATTATTTTAAGATCTAGAAAATGGCAGATAAAAGAGCGAGATCCTCACCTACTGGTGAAACACCAATTCAGGAAACGAAGAGATCTGTGAGTGTAATTAAGGGATGTTTTTAAGTTTTGTGTGAGTTAATGGTGTGTGAATCACACAGACTTGGTATGTATCGATTCTCATGAAGTGCACTACATGTGTCAGAGTATACACAAAAATGGTATTCAAATCAATTTCACAGTTGGCTTCACAGGCACTTGTTTCGTAAAAACAGGAAATCAGTTATTGTAAAATTTTGCAAAATTGATAATTCTCTTTGAAATTGTCTGTGTAAAAATTTTTTCTTTTTAAAAGGTTTAAAATAATTTTTATAATGTTAATTAAAAATTTATATGAATAATTAAACTTGGTCCTAAGTCATAAGTCCTTTTGTAAAGCGGGCCCCAGGGTATATTCTATATTTACCACATGGTAAATATATTGTGTCTGTGGTTGGCTTATACAGCAACTGTAGGTATTGAAATATAATTTTTTTAATTGTTAAAGTATAGTTTTTAGATTATCACTTTATATTCTAATTCAGGTGTTCATTGTGATCTTAAACATGTTAATCGAGTTAACAGGTATTCATAAATTCATATGATTTAGACTTTCACATTATATAATATGTTCACTGACATATATTTGTATCAAGAAATGTAATAATTTTAAAGACAAGAACTCCATGGAGTGATCAAGAAAAAGAATTTTTGGAGAAGTATGTTAAAACAGCAGGTGGTATTCCCAGAGCCAGCACTATGAAATTTTGGGAGGGATGTGCTGAAGATCTGAACAAAACATTTAATACAGCAAGAACAGGTAACAAATGAAAGTTTAAAAAAATTATTATGTATACTGAAATAAAACCTACTTTATTGTCTATCTCAGTCTATCACAACCTTAAACATAATAAAAATAACATATGTTGGAAGTCCATGTTACCAAAACAAAAATTGATATCTGGATGTGTTGATGTGTCAATACTGCATTATTAGAAGAATTGAATTATAAATGACAACCCTCTAAATAATTTTTCTATGTGCAATTCAAGTACTTTTTGAACTCTAAACACAGAAAGGTGTAAATATTTTTATAAATCAGGCATTTAACAAATTAATAGACATGCTTTGGGATGAATCCATTCTCAACATCAGGTTTACTTATATGAATGAAATTTGTCCATTAGCCCAGATGTGCCGTTGCAAAATTACGAAAGTGAAGAATTTAATGGAGGACTTTGAATCTACTCAGGACAGCATGCATACATTAGTAGATCAGTTTTCACAGACAGATGTTTCACTCTGTAGTAATGCAAATGCAAAGTATGAAATAACAAATATTATCAATTCCAGTAAAGTGTGCCATTTTCCATCACGTCACAATCTTTTTCGACAGATGCACCCAGCGTAAACAATTCACGCCCCCTCTGTGTTACTGGTCAACTCTTTTTATCAACATTGACATGGAAATAGTCTGCTGTACAAGCAACCAATCAGATAAAAAGAAACTAGGAGGCGTGTACTATTTATCTTGAGTGCAGCTGTCATTATAGGTTATGACGTAGTCGTACAGTGTAACACAAAACGACACACTTAACTGGAATTAATAATAGTTATTCATTTCAGTGGTTGTTGTACAAAAATTATTTTGTTATCATGTTTCATTTTTCAGTTTTGTGGATTCACTGCAGTTATTTTTTTTAAATGGTATGTGGGATCTTGTGTGAATTAATGCATCGGTGGCATTAAATGTTATGAATATTTTGCATATGTAAATACATTCAGGTTCCTGAATCCTGAGATGCCCATTTCTGTAGGTCAGGTTTCCCACATACAGATGCTTGTGGCATGTCTTTGTCAATACAGTGATTTAATAGATCTTGTATTTCAATGACATTCTTATGGCATCAAAAAAAGGCTGCATTTTGTCCACATGAGTTAAAAGTTCCTGTCATCATCAACTTCTCATGAAAATTTCACAATCATCATTGTTTGCAAGATTGATTGCATGTACTGTGAGTTAAAACAATACATTTTTCAGTTTTTTTAAACATGTTTTTTATTCTGGAGTAAAAGGAGGAAAGTATATGTAATATATTGTTTCTGCAATTTAAGTGGTAATTTATATCCATTGAATATATCTAATGATAATTGTTGCATTCTTATATTTATACTTCATGTGTTATGCTTGTTATAAAAATGTGGAACAAAAGGAAATACTAATTTATTCTCTGTTTCATTTCCAGTCTGGAACCTAGGCCTCACCTGAAAATGGAGCAGCTTCCAACTTTTAAAAACACAGACACCACCACTGAAGCTGAAAAATCAGTACAATCCTCTCTTTTGGACAGATTGGGTTCAGATTTTATGTTTTCAAGTGATCAAAAATCGGAGTGTATTAATGTTATTTTAAACTGCAAAACAAAGGGGGATTTTATTGATTATTTATTTCGTGATGCAGAATTTAAATCAGAATTTTCAAGAAAATTGTCAAAGGAAATTGAGTTGAATGCATCAACTAAATGTATCAGAAATTCAGATAGTTATCTTTTCAGCAAGAATTATGATGACCTTAAACAATTTTCATTTCAGAATGTCATGCAGGAAATGAGTCAGTGCCAACCAGATCTCCTCAAATTCCTACTAGCAGTAGCAGTCCCTAGCAACCGAATAGGAAAACCTGTCTCCTCCCTCCTTCCAAAATTAGGTCTCATATACAGCATTTTAATGTCATCGAGATTCCATGAGCTATCTCGATTGCAAAGAGTTGTAAGTACAGTTTTGATGGAGGAGCAGGTCCATGAAAAGGTTTTTGACAGACTACAGAAATTAGGTGTTTCAACATCCCCTGATGTATGTTCCAGACTACTTGATGATTTTGGGGGGCATTTTAACAATGAAGTAATAGCATTGTTGCATGCAGGGAAATCATTTAGATTTATTGGGGATAATGTTAATTTTACTGTTGGTGTCAAGAGTGAAAGACAAGATTCAAAACCTCAAGTTTGCAATTGGTTTGCATCTTGTCTTATCACTCAGACACTAACTTTTCCAGATTTGTTAGACATTCCACAGGGGAGGACAAGAGACCTAGATGTTTCCCATTTCCTACCGACAGCAAACGATGAAAGAAAATTGAAAGACGATTACAAAGTCCTCATTTCAAGAATAGCCAAGACCTTCCTTCCCCACTTAACATTCCTCTACGAGGGGCAGCCCAAACATATACTAGGTCAGTATTCTCATTATTACAAACAGAAAAATGTTGTTATGCCCAGCAAAGTTCTGCCACTGAATGAACAAAATTATGCAGACTGCGTAAAAATTCTTAGTGAATATGAGGATACTTTAGAGAACATCTTCAGACAAGCAGGCATTGATCTTGATCATGCTAGACCAATTCATATTGGTGGGGATCAGCTAACTCGCGAAAGGTTCTCTGGGGCCAAAAGTCTCAAATCGGGTTGTTTTTCCGCCAAAGAAAGATTTGATCACCTTTCTCCTATTACTTTTGAGTTATGGCATACTGCCATGAACTTTTTAAAATTGATTTTTGCCCAACTGTACAACAAATGTGGCAGTGACAAAGGTACTATTGAAGGTGAGCGAGTGTTGAGGCAAAGGGATAATGTCAAAGAAGATGTCAAAAACAATTACGACCAGGATAAGGACTTCTTTTTGTCCTTTCTCAAAGCTTATGTAGTGGAGGCTCTGTGCTCTTTCTTTGGCATGAATACAAAGTTGGACAATCCCACAAAACACATTTTTCCTCCAGATTTATCTAAGGCAGAGAGAAAAAATTGGGTAGAGAAAACTTTGGATGAATTTTTGGACCAATATGTTTTTGCACAAAAATCAGATGCTTCCCTTTCACAAATGCATGAAATTGAAGAACGCAGAGCTGTTCCTCTAAATGTCACACTTCCAGGGGGGGGGCAAATATTGTGATCACATCTGTACAGACAAGAACTGTGTTTGTTCAAGAAGATGAACAACATGATAGGGTAAAACATTATGGTCACTTAGTTCTAGAACTTGGACTGCTTTTTATGCAGTTCCTAGATGTGTGCAAAACACCTGATAGAGATAGATTGTTGATTACTTTAAAATACATGATGGTTGCCTTTAAAACGGCCAACAATCAAAGTAAGTATGCACTTGAAATTCTTAGATTTCTTGCACATCAGCAGTCCACTCTTAGCTTGCGCACAGCACATGAGGTTCTTTATGGCTTATTTGTCAATAGTCAAGGCAAAATTGATTCTAATATTCCAGCAGATCTTCAGATGGAACATGTTGTTAAGAGAATCAAGCAATTGCTGAAGAATTCCTCCCCTAATTGCAAACAAGAATCTACACTAAAGAAAACGCAAGCGCTAAGTGGCATGGACATTATTTCAAATAATTTTGATAAAGAGGCAAATGTTCTTGTAAGGTACTCAAAACACAAGGTCAGATCTGCTGATGATGATGAGATAGACATTATAGAAGATCTTCGAGAGGTCAGGCCCTTTGACACCAAGTATGGTAGATCTTTTGAACAGTTTGAAAAGGCTCTTGCACCATTTAATGTTAAGCTGGACAAGAATCGTATTGAGGCCTGGATAGACCATCACAAATATTTGCTAGATTTTGAAGATGCATAAAATGTGTACTTGCTCTGTTAGAACATATGTCATTCCTCAGAATTATTCCCCTTTAAATTAGTGTCCATCACCTTTTTTTTAACACTTTGAATAATGGTGAACGGTGGGAGACATGTCAGTCTCTAACTGAACACTCGATAAGTCTTTAATGTCAATTTTTTCAAAAGTTTTCTTCCATTTAAATGGTCAAATCTGATTTTTAGTTGTCAGGAATCACTCTGGTCGTCTGTTTCTCCTACTTTGTGTTCATGCCATTGAATATTGTTTACTTGTTACATATAATGAAAGTATTTTTTCACATATGGATAGTTGGAAATCAGATTTTTTTATATTTATATACATACATACCTAAATTGTTGAACATTTTTTATTTGGATTAGATGAAAGGTGTAGGTTGACTGATGTCGCTGTGACATAAAGTCAGGGCAGTAGTACTTTGGCAATGGTAGATTATCTCAGGATATAGGCCAATGATCTTCAGTGCCATGTAGTCAATCATATCATCTTTCAATACAATAAATTGCTTATGTAAGTAAGTTACTAGTAATTTTAATTATTCATCAAATTCAAAACGTCCAAATTTTGAATATTGGGTCTTGAAAAAATTTACTGTACAGCAATGATGTATATATTTAAAAGACATTCAATGTTGAGTGAATTTGTAAAGATGTAGGTTGACTGATGTCGCTGTGACATAATGTCAGTCCAGTAGTAGGCTGGCAATGGTAGATTATCTCAGGATATAGCCAATGATCTTCAGTGCCATGTAGTCAATCATATCATCTTTACACTCATATTAGTTTTTGAAAGACAAATCCTTTACTGATATGAAATTTCGATTAAAGTGTTTATGTACAAAGAAATTCTCATCAATATAATAGTTTAGGCAAACAAAAATAAATGAATAGTTTCTCAGCTAAAAAATTAAATTCAAAATTAAATACGGCAGTTTATTGCTATCCAATGTTTTCTTTTGAAAATTTCCAGTTTTCTCTTAGCCAATTTCAACCAAATTTGTTTTAAGATGAAAATGGTGGGTATATAAAGTCCACAGTAGCCTTAGTGTAAAAATTTTTCGATATGAGTGCCATTCAGAATGTATTGAAATTAAGAAGAAATATAATGTTTTTCTAACAAAAACGTCTATCTCAGCATCTTTAAAAAGGGGAATAACTTTTTCAACTTGAAAAAATAGAAAATTGATTTGATTACCTTATGGTACAATGTTTTCAGTTAGAATTGTGCAGACAATGCTGAACAATGGTCATTATGGAATATGCTACCTCAGGTTGTAGGTCAAAGTATTTCATCACTAAGTCAATTTTTTATGTCCTATACAGTCAATTTTTTCCCTTAAACAGAACTCCAACTCTCCAGAATGGTCAGCGATAACATACTGTCTCAAAAGCTCCTTGCAAGTTTGTTGCTGTTCATCAGAGGTTACGGGCAATACTTTACTGGTGACCTGTGAACATATGTCACAACATTGATGGCTACCAGTATATTTTGCTCCGAAATAATCTGCTATGAACTGTTTTCTGCAGACTTGGGAAACCAAAAATTCTTTCATTGTTTTTGTCATGTTTTGTCCAGCAGCATCAGTTGCATTATAAAAGAGCACTGCTTCAGCTGAATCGCCGTCTCGTCCAGCTCTGCCTACTTCTTGTACATATGCTGAAAAAATATGCATGTTTTTTATTCATCCTGATTAATTTTTGTTCGTTTGTCTTTCTTGTCATGCTTGTCTGATTGATGTTCAATTTGAAGTGTGTGAAAATCTGGTCTCTTGTCTTTTACTTATATAATACAGGGAAGACTAAGTGATAAACTGAAGATATCTCCCTTTCATAACACATTTGTATTATTGATCTCAGATCCCCCCTCCCACCCCCCAAAAAATTATTAAATGTTTACTGTCTTACTCTCTAATGTTGAGGGTGCTCCAATATGGACAATTCTTCTTACATGCTTCAGATCTGCACCCATTCCCAGTGCAACTGTTGCAAATATGAGGCGGACACTGACACTTCCATTTCTGAGACAGTCAAGGATGTAACTGTTTACCTGTGTTGTAAAGATATCAGTAGTGTTAAACTTGTAATGATATGCTTTAAGCATTAAATACAAAAGATTTCTTAATACATGGCTAGCAGAATATAAATTTTCTTTTAAATGACAGGAAATATTGATTATATTGATTGATTGATTGTATATTGTTTAATGTCCTTCTCCAGAATTTTCACTCATATGGAGACACCACCTCTTGCCAATGGAGAGTTGCAAATTTTGTCCCCTACTCGGCACTCAGAGCCATTGAGCAGGAAGGGATCTTTATCATGCCAGCACCAACTGCGACACGGGACCTCGATTTATACGGTCTCATCCGAAGGACCGGTCTCCACGTACTGCAGTGGGATTCGAACCCGGATTGACTCCTTCACGACTCTAGAGCAGGTGCTCTAATTACTTTGCCAAGTTGACCTATTGCTATCTGTATTCATCTGTCATAGTGTTAACATTAGAACATTTTTGGCTTAAAATTCTTCTCTAAAACTGCTCAACCAATTAGCATATAGTGTCTGCAGGTGAAGAGGAACAAAAATTTTGAATTTCATGCCCCCCCTCCCCCTCCCCTGATACTTTGAATAATGGTGAACGGTGGGAGACATGTCAGTCTCTAACTGAACACTTTTATTCATAACTTGTTTTTCTTTTAAATTTTTAATTAGGAGGAGATCTGGTAAGCTGACTTATTTTTCTCATCAAAATTGTCTGTCAGTCATTTATCTGCTAAATGGTAGATATTTATTTATTCATTCATTTATTTATTTTTGTCAATTTACCTGAACTGTGAATATTGCATGATTATGTGGTAGCTGGTACAATATTTACAGTATGTCTTATTTAATATGCCATAATAAGGTAATGTCGTCCTTCTAGCTGCCTGTTTGTCTGTAAATATTTTTTTTTCAAAATTCTACTCCGCCTATATCTTTGTTTCAATTTCAATATAACTTGGTTCACAAATAGACTACACTTAACGGTAATTTTTTTTGTTTATTGTTTTTTGATTCCCTTGAACAATGATGCCATGGTTTATGAAAATTAATTTTTATACCCGCACTTTCTAAAGAAAGTTCGTTTATATTTTCTGTCACAATTTTCTTCCCTGAACTTCTTCTAAATTGGAAGAGATTTCTTATTATTATTATTATTATTATTATTATTTTTCCGTACACCAAATTTTGTTGGTGGTGTCCGTCCGTTTTTTCTGACACTTTTCTTCCCTGAACTCCTCCTACATTTTACTCAGCAGCCTAATCATCTTTTGGGAGATGGTTGGTGGTGTCATGTAGATGTGCAGTAAGGTTTTAAAGTCTGATTTCAATATATCAGGTACATAGGTAGACTACACAAAAAAATTCCTAATTTTTTTCATTAGTTTCAATTTCAATGAATGGTGTCATGGTTACTAAGAACAGCAAATTCTGTGAAAATCTTTCAAAATGCTACTCTTTAATACTAGTTTTAGTCACATAGCTATTAAAAATTGACCCAAAAGAGACTAATCCAAGGATCATTATTTTTTTTTGCTGTCACCATAGTTTGAAATGTAAGTTCACCTTAAGTTTGTTAATTAAATAAAGATCAGTAGAGCTACAGTCTTGTGAAAGACTTGTATACGAATGAAATCTAGAATCAACATATTGTACATATATACATGTGTATTTTGAATTTTACAGGTAGTTTAAGGGCAAAATGAAATGGGTTTGAATTTCAGAGAATGCTTCGCCTTCATTCACACTTTATGCCCCAGGATCGAAAGATCCCCAGGGTATATTGTTTTTGTCCTGTCTGTCTGTCTGTCTGTTGTCAACTTTTATATACACTATAACTATTGAGTGGATGGAGCTATGGCATTCATATTTCAAAGTAGTATTCCTTGTGACAAGACCTTTCTTTGGGTACCACCAAATTTGACCTCTTGACCTTGGGATTCAACTTTTACAAAAATACCACACTTTAACCTTGGCCATAACTTTTGCACAGTTTGAGCTAGGGTTTTCATGCTTCACATGTGTATTCATTGTGACAAGACTTTTCACCTGGGATAAATAATTTTGTCCTTGACATAAGAGTTTGACCCACTTTTTAAATACTTGAACCTTGGTAATAACTTTTGAACAGCTAGTACTAGGGTTTTTATATTTCATAGGTGTATTCCTCGAAACAAGACTTAGCTTCCGTTGGGTAGTAATGGGTACCAGCACTTTGTCCTTTTGACCTTGACCTTTGAGTTTCGGGGGCATCAGTGTTTCACAAACACATGCAAACTGCGTAATTGACTTTTTTTTTTTTAAAGTTAATTTGTATTTTTTATTATAACTACTTTTATATTTTGTGCTTTGAAAAACTAGCTAGGCTATTATATTAACATGTAACTATTAAGTTTTCATTGCCTAATACTGTAAGCATGCTTTTGTGTTGCATTGCTCAATGACAATGTTGGCCTTCAGAAAGTTAATAAATATACATGTAATTTGTATTTTTATTTAAACTACTTTTATAATTTGTGCTTTGAAAAAGTAGCAAGGCTATTACATTAACAAGTCTTCATAACCTTAGTTAGTACTGTAAGTGTGCTTTTGTGTTGAATTGCTCATAGCCAGTATTGAACATGAATATAATTATATACATGTACATATTAAATGAATATAAAAAATAAATACTATTTGGATTTCTGTCCACAAACCTGGATATTTGGGTTTTCTATTTATTAAAGTAGTTGGGTTGAAAAGAATATATTGATAGGAATGTTTTTATCCAGTTGGTTTTGTAACAGTGCTTAAGAAAAAAATACATAATGTATTTGAATTGTACTGTATATGCTAAAAAGCTTCTTGAAACACCTGCTTCTGCCTGAACTCACAGTTACTATAGCAAGAATAAAGCAGGGAAAAAAGGAAGATGTTACACTTGTGACTATTGACTTTCAGTTTTTTAATTGCATGCAACTAACAGTAAATACATGTTATCCTGTTTTTTATATTTATATAATTTTTGGCATAATCTTTTACTGTTTAATTATTTTTTATGTGCCTGGGTCAATAGATGGGGGGTGCATATTGTTTTAAATTGTCCTGTTTGATTGTTTATCAGTTTGTCTGTTATCTGTTTGTCTCTCTGGCTGTTGTCAACTTTTGCTTAACTGTTGAACAGTAAGGGGTAGAGACTTCATATGTTATGCATACTTCACTTATAAGCTCTTTCAAAAGACACCAAGGTCAATGACCTTGTGACCTTGATCTATATGCTAAAAATAGCATTTTTGAAGTTAGTTGCCACCGGGCACATCGTTTTTCATGTCAAGCATTTTACATAATTTAGTAATTAAGCTAAAGATTTTTAGTAATTAAAATAAAGTTAACAAGTTTATAGTCAATATGAATACACACACAAGATTGCCCAAAATATACTTTTATTTATTCAGTTCTTGGATATTCTATAATTATTATATTTTGTTATGAAAATAATTGCCTGATTATCAAAGTTAATCAATATTGATCTAACTGTAAGTCTGTTAAATTTCTTGAGATTCGCATCACTAAATGAAATACAGTCAAACCTTGTTATCTCAAACTTGATGGGACAAAGAAAAAACTATGAGGTATTTGAGGATTCAGGATATTCAAATAATGCAATAATAGAAAGGGTTCATCTAAAATTTTGTAAACTTCTAAATTGAGTGACAGTGGTAATTTGAAGATATACTTTGTCATTTAAACATTTATTTAATTTTGTATAATTATATATTAAATTATTTGAGAATTGCTTTATTTCAGAAGAGGTACTGGATGTAAATGATGAAACATTCCTCAATAGTGGATTCCAATATGTTGGCTTAATCATGGAATTTCCAGTTAAGGTATTTTTTTTCACAGTTAATCAAACAAAATTGCATTTGTATTTCAGTCATAGTTTGTCTTGTTAAATATATAAAACTGACTTTAAATACAATACCTACCTCTTTTGACTGTGGTGCATGAAATTGCATTACTCTGCAATTCTGTGGCAGTGGAAGACCATTGTACATTCTTTCTTTCAGAATACGCTTTGCCACAACCACTCCGTATCCACACCACTTCAGATTTGAATAGACTATAGTTAGAGGGAATTGATCCTGCTTGCAGAATAGTTCGATGAGGAGAGGTTTAATGCAAGCTTCAAAAGACTTGGTGACGTTATTTTCCCCTCCCGATGCTGCTGGACGATGCCTGATTGAGAGAAAGATGTTTTCGTTTACACATGTTTTTTGGCCAGTTATTGTTAGATTTTTGAGTCCGATCAGCTTTTTTATTTCCTGGACACCTCTCTCTGTCATTGTCGCTGTCAAAAACAAGAACCGGCATTTTAGAAGTGTTCTAAGTGAACCTATCTTCTGGAAGACTGGCCGAAACTCCTTCCCCCACTCCAGAATACAATGCGCCTCATCAACACACACAATGACTTCTTCATCCTTCTGGATCATGGACGACAGACTCCCAAAACCACTTCTGGAAATAATACCTTCAGGATGACCAAAGACATATTTGACATCAGAAATATTGCAGTGTTGATAGTCCTCTGAAAGTTTGATTGCAAGGGGACCTAACTTATCAATTTCCTGATCAATTATGGCATTCAGTGGACTGATAATAACACATTTTTGTCTGATTCCAAGCTCTTGTGCATAGAACGGTGAAAGTTCATAAATGAGACTTTTTCCGTATCCTGTCGGTAAAGTAACAAAAGTGTCAGTGGTTTGAATGGAGTACAATGAATTAATTTGATGAGGTTTTAAATAATTAACAGGGTGTCCTTTTGATTTTAAGTTGAAATTTTGTACAGCTCTTTTAAGTTTGTTTGCTCTGATTAAGGCATCCATTGATCTAAAAAGATGAAAATAATCAAATTGTTAAAATTATTAGTTTTCTTTTCAATTTCTGATAACTAGTTTTTTCATGATTTAATGATTTTATGTCAAACTTTATGCATTTATAATATTTATGTAAAATAGTGCCACTGTTATATGTAGAGGCATATAATAGGTATATTTATATTCCACATGTATATTGCTTATAAAGCAATTTAGCATATATTTATGCTAATTGCAACAAAATATTTTGCGACTTATTTGAAAAGTGTGTAGAAAAAGTCTTAAGAAAATCTAAGGAGGAGAAAGCATTATTTTGGGAAAAGGGGCATAACTCTTGAAACCAATCCAAAATTTCTCCAAAATGAATAGAAGAAAATTGCTTGTGTTTCAAAATAGGGTGATCAGCTTTAAAATCTTGACATTTAGTATTTAGTAGATCATTTAGAAAGATAATATCAATGTGAATTGGTTTTAATTGAATTTTTACAGAATTATCACATTTGAGATTTTTGAAATATAATGTATTAAACAAAATAAAGGATTAAAACTCATTTCATGTCAAGAACCAGTTATTGAGATTTGAGAAGAATAAAAAGTAGTTATAGAAATGCTGAATAAAATTTTCATTATAGCACTTGGAAGAATAATGGGGTCACATTAGGATATCATTTTGAGGTTCTACAAAATTAAATGTGCAATGTTTACAATTGATCTTCAAATTCAAAACATCTTTTATAGTGTAGGTTATGTATAAATGTTTGTTCAAATCATGTACCACTGTTTAGGATGCACTTGTTGTGAATTAAAAAAAAATCTGCTAACAAGACTTTCATCTCTCATTGTGACACACCCTATCCTCAGCCATGTTTTGAACAATTTAGAACCCAAACTTAACATCAGGGAATAAATACATGCAAGTTTCATCTTTTCTGGCCCTGTGGTTATTAAGAAAAAAATATTCATAGTTTTCTCTTAAGGCCATCCTTCAAAAATGTTCATTTGGAATTTCTGTAAGAAATGAATACATTATTTTTTTTATTTTTTGAAAAGAGTCTCCTTTAAGGAGGGATATTTCAATGAGAAGTGAGGTAATTCCAAATGAACAGACTGATTATATTTTGGCCTTATATATTCCCATATAGCACAATGTTCTTCTATTATAGCCTAACCCTACCCCCAGGTGCCCCTGATTTGGACAATTTAAAAATCTACATTTCACACAGATTTGTCCTAAGTACAGATGTGTGCCAAAAAAGAAGATAATTTTATTCTTTCTCTTTTATATTTCATTGAAAACAATGTTTTGTAAAATCATTGGAATGGCAATACTTCTTAACAGATTTTAATTTAAGTCGCATACTTACAATGAATTATATATTCAACATTGATCTTGAATTTAAGAACTGTTGTTAAGTCACTGTGATGAACTATCCTTTACTAAAACCTAACTTTTCAAAAAAGATAAGTTATTTTTTGACACATTTTTCGATTTAAAAAATAATTATTGACCATTTGCCAGTGATTGTAAAAACGTTTTCAATGAAATATATCGAGAAGAAATAAAATTATCTTCACTTTTGGCATGCATCTGTATGTCTCCTGGGGCAAGAACAGGGCCATAATATTGAATTCAAAATGCATATAGTGTATATATTTTTAGAAAATCTTCCAGGCATGCATACCCAAGTAATCTCTTTTCTTATTTGTTAAAAAAGAAATGCATTGATATAGTAGTTTTTGTCAGTATCCATCATACATTGTAGCTGCAGAACTGTAGCTCTCCGAAAAAAATATTTTGACAGACCGGAGAGCTACTATCCTACTACAGTGCCACCCATTGAAAAAAAAAAAGTATATTTATTGAAATCTAAATTGTTTGCAATTAAGGTAAGAATTTTGACGAATTAATCCATTACCAAGCGCAAGTTTTTGTGCAATAAATATACATTTTTTTTTTCAATGGGTGGCACTGTAGCTCTCCAGTCACTTTCAGTCAATTACTATATTTATACATGTATAATGATTATAAATTACTATTTTGTATAGTGAAAGATAAATTAATATAAATATATAAAATATTTATTACATGATTTGATAATAACACTTACAGGAATAACAATAACAATCTAAAAATTTTCAATTTTTATGTGGATTTTTAAAAACACATGTAATCACTCAAATATCGATCTTCAAAGTTAACATTGATTTTTCTAAAGTTTCAAAATACTAGTAATCATTTATTTGATGTTCATTTTACTACAGCGTATCTTGATCCATCATTGGAATATTCTTGGCTGATTCTCACACGGCTTGAAATTTTTTTATATTTCATGTAGAGCTTGACAGAGGTACAACCATCCAAAATCCAACACTTTTATATCTATAGGTGATGAAAAATAGTACCACAGCTGTTAATGCTTGATTAAATTGCCAGGTTTTCTACAAAAACATAATTTTGAACATATTCTTTAATTTTATTCATTTTTTTTTAGTTTGTAGAAGTATTATTATAATATATGCACTTGATATGATTCAAACTGAAAAGACTTATTCATGGAAAGATTTATGTCATTAGTTTTTCTATTCATTGTAGATCAATTATACTTGAAACAGTAACAGATTAGATGGTGCAACTACTTCTGTAATCAGATTGTTTTAAAAGTAATGTATAACATATCAAGTACACTTTCAAAAGTTATGATTTCATTATATTACTGTAAATTGCCTTTAATCAATAAAACATTGATCACCTTAGTCTAATTGTCTGATGGCTGTTAAATTATATCCACATCTTCTTTCCCATACTGCAATGGATTTATAGTTGTCTCACAATTCCATGTGATGTGTCAAAGTCATGGTCCTTTATGATGGGTTATTATTAACCATAACTATAAAAATATTAATACACAGAGATAATGTATATAGTATCAACTGCTGTATTTATTACAAGGTTGAAAAGGACTTAGTTTTTACAAAAGCATGAAATACAGCTTCGTATCACAAGATTACATGTCCTTTTGATATATCTATAGGAATACATACATGGTGAACTGTTGGGAGTCTACAAATTAAAATCTTAGTTGGTATCCAGATTAGTAAATACGTGTAGTTTTGATGACAAAAATTAGTAAATGTTTTAAGGCACACCTGCATCAACCATCCGTAAGTAATTATGATTCCTGTCGACTTGCATACATTTCCTTCATTTTTTGTGTTTTATTAATTCCAATCCATATCAAATGCTGCCAGGCCAGAAATGATCAAAGACAAAACTTGTTTCTTAATCGAATTGTCATTATGAAATGACACATTTTCTGTGTTTAGATTTTATCATTATGATTATCCTCGGTAGATCTAGTAGTCACGGGTAATACTAATTCACATCGATTCTATACGTGTAAAAATTGGTTTGGGCTTCGAAAATAAAAATCCCATTTGTTTCTCGCACATAAACATTGCATTTTCCGCTAAAGACGTCATTATTATACTTGTCCAAGTTCTTAAGTCACTTACAACACTTGTTGCACTGTCGCTTGTAAAGTTTCAATGAAATCATTTTTTTAGATTTCTCTCAATTCATAACCATTTACCTTTGTCAGGTTAATCTTATAATACTACATCGCCATATTGTTTATGTTAGACACCTACTCCCAAAATGCAACAGTCACAATGTCTACAGCCGCTGCATAGCCTTCGTAACGCAGTGGAGTAGGCTGTGACGTCATAGCTAGCAATCAATTTTATTGTTCCTGCTTATTGTTTGCACCTTCCAGGGATATTAGGATTAGTGTCTGCACGCCACCATTGTGGATAAATGCAGACTTTCAGACTTTGGTGAGACCATCGCACTTTGGAGTCCCACTTATCAAATAAACAACTATTCTGTGTAATGATATATATTAGACCCTGGTTTGTAAACTTTAGAAGCACGTGATAGTTGATAATATGAGTGATTCATAGACAGACATATTACCATCGACAAAAAATCTTTATCTCATTTTTCACTTTTTTGAAGTAAGAAACTACATGAGTTCAAAATGTGTTCATACATTATCAGTCACTTTTTTATATTTGAAAGTATACACATGTACCACGTCTCTCAAGATTTAATATTAACAATATCTAAGATAAAATTTGCTTGACCTCTCCCGACTCAGGATAAAAAGAAATATAGAAACTAAATGAAAAAGATGTTTAATCAGTCATTATATTTTCCTTGTTCTATTCAAACTTTAGGTGTGAAAAAAATTAATTGAAATGGAGACAAAAAAGACAGTTTGGCTGCGGGCCTTCTTTCTAAAAATGCTCGTGACGTGTTCTCGTTGTGATCAATGGCCATCTCCTACAGACATTAAAAAAAGTGAATCAGACACTCTTCAAACAGTGCTCAGTCTTTTGCAACAACACATTATAGACCAAGATGTAAAAATGAAGAACCTTGCGGAAGAACTTTCTGCTGTAAAGAAAATGTTATCACAATGTGAGTACGCTTAATTCCTGTTATTTTTCATGATGAAATCATGATATTCATATAATAACTTCATTTAAGTTTCAAAATTTTGCACTTTTAGGGCTTCAGCAATATCAGATATTTGTTTCGCTTTAAAAATATTTTTAAAATATTGAGAAAGAAAATGACAAATAACATTTACAACCAGATACCCGCTGTGTATTTGCAAAATCACAAGACATTCCTAAATTTCCATCCAAGAAATTTTGCATGCTTGTTTCGAAAATGCGAAATAGTCGTTAAATCTATCTCTGCATAAAGATTACTATTTCCTTAGATGTATACTTTAATAGAATATATAAAGAACACCATTTTTCTTATATTCATTCTTAAAATGTAAAATATACGGATTGACTAATACTTATAATTTTCTCTGCGTTATCATTCACTGTTCTTTCTTAATTGTGAATTGCATATTTATGTGTAAGGAAAGTGATCATTCTTATGGGTAGTCCTCATTTGATCGGAGACGTCGTGCTTAGCATTCTAAAAGTGGTAAAAAATCAAATGAAGATTCTTAAAGACTCAAGAAGAAAAACTTAACGAAATTTAAATTTTCGAAAAAATAATTAATCATGAAAAACATCAAAACATATCACTTTTCTACGCTTTATACAACCAATCCTTAAGCTACCTTGAAGAACAGACATTTATAATGAAAAAGAATCCTTGGTTTGCACGTTGGTCTACAAGACATATTATTCTTTCAATTTATTATAAATATATTTTATCATTTGTATTAGGTGATGTTACTACATCTTCTTCAAAGACAATAGAACCAATGGACACACTAAATTCAACAAAACCAGAGAAAGGTAGCGATATTTTAAAACATTAATGACTATCACCAGGTAAAAAAAGTTTCTTATGGCAATTATTTTAGAACGAACAAATGTCATAAAGATGTGACGTTGCAGACATTGTGCCTTTTCGCAGATTTTTTTCTCTCCATCTTTTTTTTTTAAATACGTCTAGCTTTTGTCGTAGTTCTTGAACATTGAAATTAATGTCATTCATTTATTTAAGTCTTCTCTTGTTTTATTGTTTTTGTTCATTGAAAAGTAATTCCTGTAAAGATAAGTATTTTTTATTAGTACATGCAATCATCAAATTAAAATCACATTGTGCAAACATAAATATTATGCTTGCATTTTTTTTTACTGGGGTTCGTGCAAGGGATTGGAAGAAAGGAGGTCATTTTATAATATTAACATTCGCTGTGTTTTTCTACAAAGCCAACTGTGAAATTGATTTGACTACCAATTTTGTGTACGCTCAAGCGTAGAAATATACATAGAGAAACGTATATAACCCAATTTTGTGAAAATAATTTCGTTTAAAAAGTTTATTTTTTAAGACGTAGACGAATTAGTCAGAAATTAAAGAATGTCAAGATGGGATAAAATTAAAACTATTAATATTAAAAAATCAATATGTCTTCTCGCTAGATTTTTTGCTAAATAATTTCAAAATTTTCTTTTAAACTGCCAAAATTTTGCATTTATGACGTCATTTATTTCTACAACGTCATTTGTTGAACGTTGTCACATTTACAGTACCAGTTTAGTATCTTGACCTTTAGAATATGCAAGATTTAAAACATGGCTTCGATACAAACTTTAATTTTATCATTTAATTTATTGCGGTGATATATTAGGATGACCAGCAACTTATTTTCAGTAGTAATGTGAAATTAAAGCAAATCACTAAGTCAGAATGGATGTTATAAACATTTCTCGAGCAAGAGAATTAATATACAGCGACAACAACGTGACTGATAAAATATATAGGACCTGCAATTCTAGAAAATTCATGGTCAATAGAATTTCAGGCGTAACACAAAAAAATTGAACACTCTTTTTTCGAAAACGGTAAGAAAAACATCCCGATACTGAGGAAATAAGCGGAAGTGTGTGTGTGTAGGGGGGGGGGGGGGGGGGCTGGTACCAGCAATCTTCTTTCTATGTTAGCCACAAGCTATAGTATTTGTCCTAAATCTCAAACATTTGTTAATTTCGAATTCTCTTACTCAAATTTCAATATGCAAAATGGAAAACAATTGCATTTATCTTTCACACTTTGAGCTTTTTTATAATAATATATATATAGAAAGCACAAAGAAATTCACTTTTATATGGATACCCACTTCTGCCCCAGGCCGGGCTTGAACTCTCGCACTTCGAAACCTGTCTCCTAGCAGTACAGGAACAGCACGCAAGACCACTTGGCTATCTAGGCTAGTCAAAAAACTTGCTTTCGATGCCGATGGAATTCTCGCGGCGCTGCCCTATACCACACGGTCATTGAGAATAGAAGTGAGAAACAGTTATGTGGACATTAGTTTTAACAGAGGATTGTTACCGATACACGTTGTAATAAAATTAATTATTACTTATAAAGCACATTATACAAGAACTCTTACACTAACATAATTGCCCTAAGTGATATATATATTATTTATATCATATATTATATATATATAATGATACTAATACTTGTGAATTGTTAACTGTGTCTTATAGGTCTTACAGTCAAGGTGTTTGTATAATTTGATTTTTAAATGCATTTCATAATTTATTAGCCAGCAAAACAGGAGAATACACGATATTTAAATACATAACAACCAAACAATAATGATAATGAATTGATGATGATGATTTAAAAAAAAAACATAATTAAATTTGATCCGTTTATAGTGCCGAGGATTGATTCCATCCTGAAAAGTATAGGCAAATTTTCGCACCGATTGGATTGGCAGTCATGATGCAATACGCATGTTCACTTGAGTTTCAAATAACGCCACCACCCCCCCCCCCCAAATTTTTTGCTTAGCAGTTTTTATTCATGATAAATTTTTTCTGTGTGCCCTAACTTTAATGCTGATTTAATCTGATTGTCTTTTACCAGTTTAGTTAGACTACAATATAATTTTTTCTTTTCATTTGGTTTTGTATTTAATTAGTCCTAAGATATAACATAGTAACATCAGAATTCAGACTGAAATTCAATTATAAAACATGTACATATTGTACGAGGTTTACGTACAATAGCATGCACTAAATCTACTTGATTCATACAGACTTGAAGTCATTTGCAGAGAATTAATCGAGAAACAACGTAACTTTGCCTTTGTGACGTAACTGACGTCATTATCAAATGTGCACAAAACAACCGCTCGAACCGTCTAAATTGTGTACCAAAATTGATGACATAAGCAAACCCGCGACCTACCTTCAGTATACTCATGCATAGAAATATGCACGGCAACGTGACGTCACAATAAGGTTACATCGACGTTAGTTAAAATGCAACGATATAGGGCAGCGAGAAATCCAAATACTGAGTGTATTACTTATGCTTTTAAATATGTGAAATGTAAATATAAGGAATGTTTTTAAATCACTATAAATATGAATTATGAAATGTGAATTAGCGCGATTTATGAAATATGCCTACGTGACAAGTTTGTGTGATCTACACACTTTCATAAAACTTAAAAACATTCCTTAATTATCGGGAACTATCTACTGCAACGTGTATCAGTAAAACATTACATGGATAAACATACACCGTATCCAAGTCTCTGACACGGGACCAAAATGGAATTTATGAATTATATGTGTGATGGTTTATCTTGTTGTTTTGAACATGTCTTCGGTAAGTTTGTACCTGACATTATTAGTTATGTAGACACTTTGGGGTGTAATATTGAAATATGTGGGGTCCTTGAAAAAAAAACATATAAGCCTCGCCCAGTATGCATTTTTTCAAGGACCCCAAATATTTCCATATTACCCCTCTAAGTGTCTACATAATGAATTAATCCTTTCGAAATTTTTTAATGGAGTTTTTTTTTTATTTTTCTGAGTTAGTGAATCGTCCTGTAACATTGTTTACACTGTGACATCGTTTAATGTTTCTTAGGACGTCATTACTACATCTAAATGAACTGCTTTCCGGTGCGCCGTAACGTCATCAAACGTCGCCTTTTTTCGTTTACCACTTTTCATTCAAACTACCTAGGAAATAGCCCCAAAACCAGCAAATGCATTAAATGTTTTTTTTAGTTTCTTCACGACAAAGAAGATGAACTTAAATATGATGAATAAACATTTACTGAAAATTTCAGCTAAGTGGATCAATAGAAAAATAAGCTTTGACCTCAATTTTTTTTCTCGGAAAAATTGTAGACTAAGCAAGTTGCAAACCAAAGATTTTACAAAACTTTGAACGAAGTACATTTATAAATCAATTGTTATAATTGTTAGCAGTGAAATTGTATATAGTGTTGCATGAAACGTATGGCGATAACGAACAATATTCAAGATCAAAAGTCCATAGAACAATACAAAACAGGAGCAGAGAAAACACGGACCTCCAAAACATCAGAGGTGGTATCAGGTGCCATGAAGGAGTGAGTATCGCCTTCCGACGGGTCATACTCGCCGTGTGCTCATTGTCATGTTCGGGAAACATCGGAAAAATCCGTCGTCAATTCATTGTAAACCTAGGTGACTAACAATTGGTATGAAAAACGTCTGTCAGCATTAGACTCTGTTTCTCAGATAAAAGCTAAAATTGCCTTTTTTCTAAGCATAAAAATTTCGTATTTTGGGGTACTCTATTGTTATGCAATTAACTCATTTACCTAATTGGTCAATCGGAAGGTATCGTCAGTGTCTCAATTATGCTATTAATTTATTCTTACGTTAAAAATAAATATATCGTCAATCTGTTAATCATTAGGCAATGTCTAAATCACCACTTGAACATTTTAGTGCAGTTAGAAACAATATTCCCCTTGAATGTATAAGTTTATGTAAAAGAAAATACAGCAACCAGTCAGACGAAATAATGTACCTTTTTAAGTCCTTATTCTGTAAGTCATTTTAATTCCATGGTGTTAAAATTTCACGATATCTGAAAAAGTACCAATTGCAATGTTTTTAATTTCATGCTGCAAGAAATAACTTCAAAATTTCGTACAAACATTAAAACGCTTTTAAAAACTAATCGTGATATTCTCGATGGATTTAAATTCGCCGAAAAATGAAGAATGGCAAACAGAGCGAAATCAAAACCCTGCTGATTTTTTTGCTAATCTACATTTTTCAAGGGCTTCCTTAACTGAAGCGAGTTCAGAATGCAATGGGATTTAGATGTTAATGTGTTACCCATACTCACAAAGCAGATATATATCTTGCAAATTACGTTTCTAATTTTGATAAAAGTAATATTCCATTAAAGTACACATGTCAGTGATAAAGTGCCTGCAAAAACCCCCAAACCATCTCTAGAATTTGTATATTCTAATACGAGAGGTCAATTAGTTTCTTTTTTTATTTCAGATCATGACCTTGATTGTAGAATCGGTCCTAGATAGGGGAGCTAAGCTTTAAAGAGATTATATACCTATAATAGAAAAAAACTTCTTCAGAAAAACAAGAGGGTTGTGATAAATTTTATCAATATGAAAACATGTTTAAATAGGGAGACATAAGTGTTTTTTTTTAATTATGTTAAAGCAGGAATACAATACAATTCGTATTATACATTATATAAACGGTGCCCGATGTGGAGGGTAACAGTTGAAGTTGACACCCCAAGGAAAACCATTGTCAACCGACGCGTCAGCGGAGGTTGAGAATGGTTTTCCGAGGGGTGTCAATTTCAACTGTTTCCCTCCAAAACAGGCACCATTTATTTTATTATACTGAATGACGTCTTCTTGATTTACTATGTCAGCAATAAAAATCATCGATCGCCTTTTCATTCACGTTTAGAAAGCTTTCAAACTCCCCGCTACTTTGGAAAAGATTTACTGACCTCTTTATTGTTTATTTAATACTCTACGAGTCCTTTATCATCAAAAGTTTTGTTATTTCTGCACTTGCAAGTACGTTTCGTCTGGCGTTTGTTGTTTTCAGTAAGCTACATCGAACGCAAGCTTTTATTGACGTCATGTTTATTCCGGTTCTTTCAAACGCGCATCTGACGTTTTGAGAATTCTATGGTGAACCGTACGCGCATAATTTCCACGCATGTTGCATTACCGTTGTGTTACCCGTTGTCACGTGTGTTGCTAAGGCTGAAGGTAATACAACAGATTGTTAACGGTGTCTAAACCAATCAGATTTTAGTATTTAACATGAAAGTATAATAATAATAATTAGTACAAGCATTAAATATTACACTTGTGAGTATTGTGATACATGGAACTCACTCGTTTGATAGATTGAATGCAAAATTATATTGTTAAAATTAAATAGTTTTAAACAATTATAAAAATCGAATTGAAATGTCGTAAAATTCGCTGAATTGTAGGTAGTTTAATAATTAATATTTTTTCAAAAAAAAAAATGTACACGCAATTTTCTTATGTGTAGGCGGTGATATGACAGTTCCTTCTTCAACCTCAACTTCCTCGACAACAACAGTAACACCATCAACTACTAAAGCACCAAGGATAATTGGTAAAATATCTTAATTTGGAAAATTCAATCAAATACATACTTTATCTACTTTACGTTTTTTTAAAATTCAATTACAGGTAGTAGAGGCAGTGAGTTTCTTATCCTATTTATGATGAATCATCCTTTTGCACATGGGAACTTGACTATTTACTTAACGTCAATCGACGAAACAACAGTTAAAATATTAACATCCCCTCATTTGAATACAAACATTAAATTGGTGAATAATTTTACCTCCAGCTTCACACTAACCCTTCCCCGCGACATTGTTTGTGAATATTTAACTGTTGAACCTAAAGGTCTAATACTACAGACTTCAGAATTATCAACTGTAACAATCTTTGATAGATTTTATACGTCCTCAAACGATGGGACTCTGATTATTCCAACACAGAAACTCTCCAACAAATATATCATTTCTTCAACAGATCCAAATAGGTACAGTCAATTTGCTATCGGAGCACTCTATAACAGGACAACTGTAGAGATTACATTCAAATTTAAGGCTAATACTCCTCTCACTATACAGGGTAAATCATATAGTGACGGGGATAATTTCACCGTGATATTAGAAAGATTTGAAACATTACAAATCGCACATACCACGGAACCTTTATAAGGTCAACAAATCCTATTGCAGTCTTTTCTGGAAATCGATGTCAAACTTTGAGAAATGGTTGCAGTCACATGGTAACACAGCTTCCTCCGACAAACGAGATAGATACTGAATACATTGTACCACCTTTTTATAACAATGACGGGACATTAATTCAAGTACTTTGTGAGAATAGTAGTTCCATTAACTCCAGTGTCGGTAACAGTGTTTCAAACTTTCTTTTAAATGAAAAAGGATACAAGAACATTGAAGTTACTTCAAATATGACAACAGTTATAGAATCAGATCAGCCTGTGCTTGTTACTGCTTTCGGAATGGGTTCTAAATCCAATCGTTATCATCCGTACATGACGGTCGTACCAGGAATTCATCAGTATCTCGATTACTATAAGATTATTGTACCAGAAGGATATCAGGAAAATTTTATTTGCGTGATTGTTCAATCACAATCACTGAACAATCTACGGATTAACGGATTTTCAGCTTCTCATTACACCTCTGTGTACCAGGCCGCAGTGACCCTAACTAAACATTTCAGTATTCGTATCTTTAAAATCCAAAGTGGAACATTTGTTTTGTCAACAACCGATGCTTCACAGTTTGGACTTATTGTTAATGGTCATCGAATCAATGACGGTTACGGTTTTGCCGGAAATTTTGTTCATTGATAAGCTTCTAATGAAAAGGGATAATTTGTGAATTCTTAATTTTGTATCGTTTTTCTTTTGGTATTTTAATTTATTTCAAGGATGTTAAGTATTTTTGTGTCTTGTTTGAAGATTAATACTAAGCTACTTTATGTGTACATTGCATGTAAAAAAAAAAAAAAAAGCTCCATTATTTAGCAGTTTCGACGCGCACAAAAAAGCTTATTCATGAAAATTGAAACCGTTACTAAATTATTTTTGAATGGAATATACGACGCAGCAGTGTGCAGTGACAATACGTTAAAAAGTTAATCACCCAATACCAAGTTGTTCCGCTAAATTTTGGGTTAATTTATTTATTTAAAAAGTTGTTCATTTTGGAAGGCGACAGCAAATGTAAATTTGATCATTTCTATCATTAATGCGGGTATGTATATCAGAATTATTCACGCACCTCTACTTTGAAAGAGATTATCATAATCATGCAGCTCAAAAATGAGTATTTTTAGCTCACCTGATTTGAAAGCTCAAATGAGCTTTTCGGATCACATTTTGTCTGCAGTGCGCCCGTCTGCCTGTCTGTATGTAAACTTTCTAATATTCGACTTTTTCTCAAAAACCAATGAGCCAGTTTTAACCATACTTGCCACAAAGCATCTTTGAGTGGATGGTTTTCAAATTTGTTCAAAGGAAGGGCTACAGCCTCTTTGAAGGAGAGATACTTAAGAAATAGTGAAAATTATAGTGGCATATTTTAAAAATATTCTTTTCTAGAACGCCTTGTAATGTGCCAGAAAATTTGAAACTTATGTGGGAACATTCTCAATTGTGCAGATTTCAAAGGATTTTATTCGGTAAGAAACAGTATTTCCCCCAAAGTCAAACTATAACGGAAAAATAGAATTTTATGTTTCATAAAATGTTTTATATACACTTTTTTACATTGTTTTTGACATATTTAGATTAAAATTGCAGTTGTTATGTATTTTATGTATTAAGAACGGGATCGACTAGATCGGGATCGAACTCATGTTTGGATCGGGTTCGGCTTGATCGGGATCGAGTGCTCAATTAATTTAATTTTGCGGAAAAACGAGGTTGTTGTCAATTTTGAGAGATGAATAAAATTCATTTGAAGCTATATTTTCTACTCCTGTAACACAACCTCAGATGATTTGCCAGTTTGAACAGTTAGATTGATTGTGCAATTGTCTCAATCAATAACTAGGCATGGAGGTAAAAACCTGATATCCCAAACCGCACACTCTACTTCTTTGAAGAGTTTACTGGGTGTTTATGACTAAAAGAAACATACTTGGATAATTCACGGCTAAATGAACATACATTTAAATTGTTAATTGGGGCCACGAGCTAGCCAGCTCAAGAGAATTATGTAAGTTGGTTAGCAGACATCCATCCAAGCAGGCGACCCTACAATTAAAGTGATAGACAACAATAATCTTCCACATGATCAATGTCACCAGTTCACCAGCAATAATTTAATTTGGCACCACTGCAGTTCGTGGAACCCAGACATGAAATACTTGGCCACTGATGAGGTTCACCTAAAATACAGCAGCCACGATGGGTTCGCCACGACCACCGGTTTATGAAGAAGTACCTTCAGAACATCAAAAGTGTTGTCCTCCATGCCTCCCATCTGATTGAATGGGATAATAAGGATAAGTAGTACATTGCACATATGATGATATATGGTTGTGCATCAGTGTTTTCCTTTTAAGTAAAGGATTAGAGATCAGTTGTCTAGGGTATGAGGTGTATGAACAAAATCCCTGTGGACCTTACAACAAATTGTTATATTAAAGCCGCATTTTTGTAAATTGAAGCGGTTAATTTGACCGGTTGCCGGTTATTAGGGAAAACACTAAATGCATGTGATAAAATTTCTGGTAAATGCCACAATATATCATGTCACATGTTACATTTAAATATGAGATTATTTTAGTGCTTTTATAATTTAAATGTAAACCTCAACATTTTTCTGCACATTATCTTACCTTTTTTCATAATTTGCTGTCAGTGTCAATATTGGTCAAAGTTTTGGAATAACCAATGGATTCCATCATATGTACACAGCACAGTTAGGGTTACAAATGGAAATATCGGCGATTTTTTAAGAAAAATACATACTTTATTAGGATGGGCGACTATTTTTAGGAATTCTCTGATATCAAAAAAATGTAACGTGGTTTAAATCTACATGTTGGGGACATTTAGATTTTTTATTTAGACTTCACATGTGATGTCGACGTCACATGACTTTGGCAATTATACTTGCATTTTAGAGGTCATCTATAAATGTCAATATTGCAAGGGCATAACCAAGTTAAAAATCTTAGTTAATTTATAATCCTTTTCAACACTATCTGTAGTTTGTGAAAGTGTTGCGAACTTATATAGATTCCCTTTTTTAATCGGTAAAATTTAATTTGTTTGACGGCAGGTTGAATATTTTGCTGGTCAACTTCATTAAATATAGCTATAATTAATTTATGTGCAAGATTTCAAGAGGTTCGCAGCACTTCTCAAATATCTTAATGCTTCTTGAGTTTATGTGTAAAATTTTGAAAAGATACATTGAGGGTATGCCCTTGCAATAAATCGATTTATTAGGGCCCCTCCATTACTTTTTCAATGAAACTGCATACAAACACACGACAGTATCGCTTGTCTGGAGAATGCACGTGCAGTTTATAAATAAAATACTAAAATAGACATTGCAAGTTCACGGCTTTTTATTTTACTGCAAATAATATTTTATTTGAGAAAAAAAGACATTTTTCATCGTACAAAATGTGACTTGATCAGCCTCTCACTGTGTACAAACTGCGTCATTTTTGCGAGATGACGTCACATTGACAAGTGCATTGCAATCGATGCATCGTTTATATACTGTTGTGTGGGATTTAACAAACGACAAAACTGCATGTAATAGTAAGTTTCTATGTAGTATACAGCTATCCAGCTGTTTGAAATAGCAAATAATTTCATTTTGTGGTACTTTGAAGACCTTCTATTATGTGTGACGTCATAGTTAACATTTCCCGTACAAATTAGGCCCCGCCTCCTTACTGTAACCTTAACTGTGCTGCGTATGCGAAGCATGCATTTCACATACATATGAATACTGTATGCAGGGAAATTTTCTTTCCCGTTTTATTTTCGCCCTTTTCGACCTCTCCTTGATTGGGCGAATTTAAAACGGGGCGAATTCAAATTACACAGCATACTTTCTTAGGCATAACTATGACTGGGCGAATTTAAAAAGGGGCAAAATTGTTCACAAGTACAAAAGTGCGAAAAAAAACACGGGGCAAAAATAACCCTGTATACAGTATGACATTATTTTAGTGCTTACATAATTGCACTGTAAACCTCGACATGTTTCTGCACATAATATTACCTGATTTCATAATTTGCTGTCAGTGTAAGAATTGGTCAAATTTTGTATTTTCATATGTACTGTTCGTCCCCTGCCTCATATCAGGATTAAAGTGATCTTCTTAAGTCCCACTTATGCAAAAGAGGCTACAATGCCCGCACCGTACAAGCAGCTATTGATGAGAAGCAAAACCTATTACGCTACAAGAAAACAAGACAATAGCGACAGGGTCCCTCTGGAAACCACATAACATCCCGTCCTTAATAACCTTAGCGGTTTCCTTCAAAAGAATCTACCAATTATCAATTCAAACAAACGAATGGCAGAGATCTTTAAGGAACCCCCATTTGCTACACACAGACGCCCTAGGAAAATAAAGGACATGGTAGTAAGAACCAGACTGGACAACCCATTAACTTACGGGGGCTTTAAAACTTGCTCTGACAGAAGATGTCTTCTTTGTAAGCACAGCACTGACACAGACAGTTTAACAGCCCTGTTACAGACCGCAGCTACAAAATACTAGGGAATTTGTCCTGTCATGCTGACAACTGCATTTATCTCATCAGTTGCAAAGTTTGATCCAAACTCTTAAACTAACATAAGTGAAGAAATATTAATATAGAAAGCACAAAGAAATTCACTTTTACATGGATACCCACTCCCGCCCCAGCCCGGCGTTGAACTCTCAACCTTCGAAATATGCCTCCTAGCAGTGCAGGAACAGCGCGCTAGACAGCTCGGCTATCTAGGCAAGTTAAAACAAAACTTGCTTTCGATGCCGATGGAGTTCTCGCGGCGCTGTCCTACACTACACGGTTATTGAAAATAGAAGTGAGATACAATTATTTGTTAGGTTATGTTATGTTAGTTTAAGAGTTGTTGTAAAATGTGCTTGATAAATAATAATTTAATTTCATTACAACATGTATAGGTAACAATCCCCTGTTAAAACTAATGTACAAATAACTGTATCTCACTTTTAATCTACTAATTTTCTTTTAAATCCCGGATAAAGATTTTAATACATTAAAATTTATCATGCAATGATTTTATTTGTACACTTTCTGTAATATCTAGTTTGACTTGCAATTCCTTAACATATTTTTTGTTTTGATGCACGATTAACTCTGATGAAACCTTGTTCGTTGTTTCTTTCAGGCTTATTCTGTAAAATATTACTGCTTTACATAACATTTATGAAGAAAATACCGTCAGTCTTATCTTTGTGTTTATCTATTTAATAAATAAATAGTCTACTTTTTTATTGATTACTTTTTTGCAGAACGTCGATTTTGTTTTTTTCAAGAGACCTATTTAGTCTCCTTTAATAAAAATGTTTCTTAGTTGCTAAAACATCCTTAAAGAGCGATATATGGTAAGTGTCTGAATTGGCCCCTTAAAATGAATACCGTAATTTTTCTTTATATATAGTTTTAATTTGTACAGCTATATATGCGACCTTTATTGGTCATTTTCATTGTTATCAAAATGCCGTTATTTTAGAAATATAACATCATAAAGATCACGTTTTCACGCCATTTTAGCATATTTTGTATAAAACTGCTTATTTCCAAGCAGTTTTTCTTCCAGAAAATATAGAGCGCAGCCTAGAATAAGCTTTATATTTTTACAAAAGATGTATCTATCCAATACTGATTACTGACAGAAAAATTATGTATGTTCTTCACTGCGCTCTATGTTTTCCATAAGAAAAAACATCAAGAAAAAGGCATATTTTTGGCTTTTTTGTTAAAAAGCAAAAATAGAATTAATTCTCATGTCATTTACAGCTAGAGAGTGCATACATTTATAAATATGAAAAATATATTAGAAATATTTCTAACATAATCTCTTCTTCAAAATAAATATCAATTAAACATATCTGAATGTAATTTCTAAAATGTCGATTTTTAGGGGGCCAGAATTGGATCTTATCATATATACTCCTTTATCTTTTAATTTATTTTTTATTAACTTTGTTTTTCTCCTGTGCAGAGCATACCCATGGTTATTTTCTTTCGTAACGTGACTTACAAAATTAACTCTTCTTACTAATATTAATCTTTCATTTCTATGTTTTACATTTCTTCTTTGGACTTTCATAAATGTTAAGGAAAAATGAATCATTGGCAATGGGGAGAAAATGTTTCTTCATTTTATTTTAAGGGTATGTAACTAGAGATCCTAAAATTTGCCGTTTCTCCATTAGATTTGCATTACTTCCTGTGTTGCGAGAAGAAGCTTACAGTGTGAAGAGATTTTTTTTTTCCAGAAAATATATGAGAAATGTTAAGATAATTTTTGTTCAATGTAGCAGTTGACCAATTAAGATATCAAAATACCCTATAAGCAACCATTACCATTCGGATAAAATATATTTAAAAAATACTTAGCCAGGTTCACGTAACAAAATTGCTGCGTGTTTTATGAGCGGTTTACGCAGTAAAATTTTCAACTGAAAGTGAATTTAATAGAAGCAATGAATTTGTGCTTATTTGTTTTTTGCTTCTTCTAGTAAAAACAATAAACCATTCCTTGCATAAATGTTCGGAAAACACGAAGATTTATTTAGCCTAGAAATATCGGGCCCAGCTCACGAAGAATCGACTGGAGAGGACCAAATCCCCTTCAGCAAATGCCTGATAAAGAAATTCAACGTATGAAAAAGTTCAGGAAATTCCAAGAAGTCTCAAAATCACTTAGCAGCACATGTACTCAAAATTAAACGATATTCTAACATGACTTGTTAGCTCAAACCATGACAAACTACTGAAAATGGCATTTTCAATTCTTCGATTCAGTTAAAATGAAATAACACATGGTTCGCAAATCAGTCTTAATATCTTAGAAAGATTCATATATACCTTTTTAAAAAACATGGATATGGAGATAACGAACAGTATTCAATTTCAAAGTATTAAAATATTTAACATTAAATATATTAAACAATACAAATTAGTAGCAGAGCAAACAGGGACTTCCGAAACATCAGAGGTGGGATCAGGTGCCATGGAGGAGTGAGCATCCTCTGCTGACCGGTCACACCCGCTTTGTGCTGCTTGTCAAGATCGGGAAATAACTGAAAAATCTGTAGTCGATTCGGTGTTAAAATAATGGACTTATAATTAGTATGAAAAACGTCGGTCGGCATTTGAACAAAGGATCATTTGTATTTAATGACAATGTCGTTGTATCGACCATAGAACTTACAAAATGATGACTTTATACGACACTGCTGATATTCTTCTCATCAACTTGCTTGTCAATAATTTACCTCGTTTTAGAAATTGTTCATACGTAGAGCATGTCT